GCGGCAGGAGCAACGGACCCACTGGCGACTGGTGCAACAGGCTCACTGGCTACCGAAGCAAGGGCGACGGACTACAGGCGCTGCAGGCTACAAGACAGCTACCTTCACACAACTTCCCCCAGCTGCCCCACGCCCCTCTCACACACCCCTTGCTCAAACCCTAGCTCCACTCCCACAGCACCCCCCTTAACCCTAAACCCCAAGCTCCCACACATCCACCCCCCTCAGCGACAGCTGCAGTAGTGGGAGACGAAGGAGGAGGAGAGGAGGGGACGGCGCACACAACCGACACCCCCACAACCGCCACCCCCACACCGCGCACCCCCAAACCCTAAACGGGTGGGACGGGAAAGGAGCGCGGGGGACGGCGAGGGGAACGGCGCGCGGCCCCAGGGCGCCACCACGGGGCAGCGAGGGGCCGCGCACGGCTCCCCAGGGTGCCGTGAAGGGGCAGCGGGAGGGCGGCGACAGGACCGCAGAGGGCGGCGACGAGGCCGCTGCGGGCGGCAACGGGGCCGCGGAGGGCGGCGATGGGGCCGCTGCGGGCGTCGACGGGGCCGCTGCGGGCGGCGAAGGGGTCACTGCGGGCGGCGACGGGGCCGCTGCGGGCGGCGACGGGGCCGCTGCGGACAACGACGGGGCCGCTGCGGGCGGCGCCGGGGCCGCTGCGGGCTGCGACGGGGCCGCTGCGGGCGGCGAAGGGGTCGCTGCGGGCGGTGACGGGGCGCTGCGGCGGCGACGGGGCTGCTGCGGGCGGCGACGGGGCCGTAGAGGGCGGCGACGGGGGCCGCTGCGGGCGGCGATGGGGCCGCTTAGGGCGGCGACGGGCCGCGAAGGGGGGGGAGGGGCCGAGTGGGGGCCGCGAAGGGCGGCGACGGGGCCGCGAAGAGCGGCAACAGGGCCGCAAAGGGCGCGCGGCGGGATGAAAATGCGTCGCACGCCACGGGGCGTGCGACAGATCGAGTAGCATAGGAAGCAGGTGGGCCCACCGGCCAGGAGCGTAGGTAAGCCCTGGCATGTTCAGATAGTAGGCAGAGTTAGGAGCCATAGCTAGGTAAGCCCTAGCTAGGCAAGAAAAGTTTAGGCAAAAGAGGGGTTTCACTAGCAGCAATGAAGATACATATAGCAAACCCTAGATGGGTTGTACTCGCTATAGAGCACCCCACTACAGGCTAGAGAATAACATTCTGACAGCACAGCTAACAGTACAGCGACAGTTCCGACTGACCCAGCCCAAACTGGACGAACTAAGGAAGCAGTTCGTCGCCCTTCGCAGCACTGATACTGTTCACACCGAAAAAGACGGGGGGTTCGCATGTGCATATATTACAGAGCACTGAACAGGGTTACCATCAAATCCCGTTACCCCATCCCGCGAGCCGACAAACTGATCGACCACTGTGCATAGCCCGGTTTTTCTCGAAAATCGACCTCCGAGGGGGTTACCACCAGATTCGCGTCAATCCGCCCGACTGCCCTAAGACCACATTTCGAACATGCTACGGATCCTTCGAATATACCGTCATGCCCTTCGGACTGACCAACGCCCCCGCCACTTTCCAAATGACCATGAACGAAGCTTTCCACCCGCTCTTAGATAAGTGCGTCATAGTATATCTGGACGACATCTGATTTACAGGCCTGACAGAGCACAGCACATACAGGACATCGAAGTAGTTTTTTAAATTATGAGTGAGCACCGCCTACTGAAAAAAGCGTTGAAGTGTGAGTTTTTACAGGACCGCCTGGAA